CTTATTTGATATACTATGGTATGCATAATATATTGATAACAAAGACATACAAACATGTAGGGATGCAACACAACACTAGAGTTCACTAAGGAGCACGTGGGTGTGATTGATGATTAAGACTCATTCATGTAAAATATTTAGAAAATCTCAACAATTCGTCACGTCAACACTAGTTTTTTTTTCTTACATAAAAAACTGAGGCTTGATTACATATGTCACGTTACCAATCTTGTTTTTTTGTTTTTTTATGTAACCCCCCTTGCTTTAGTCACCAATCTTGTTTGCTTACCGTTCTTACAGTTCTGTATATTTTGTATTTTGAAATGTGATATTGTTGGGATGCATAGGCTGGTTAGTACTTTGTTTTTTGACAATGCTTGTTATACATTGTTAGTAGCCCATGCTATTTTGTATTTAGTGACCATCTTTCTCTATTTGAAATTATCACTTATTGTTTAGTCTATTTAAATACCATACACTTACTTGTGTGAGTTTCATATCAGCTTTATTTAGTTTGCTTCGTTAATTACTGATTTTCTTTTTTATTACACTTCATGTTGTGCATATTGTTGAGCCCATTTTGCAATAGAGTGACTTATGTTGCAGGTTCATTTCAGCTTTATTAAGTTTGCTTTGTTAATTACTGGTTTTTCTTTTTATTACACTTTATGTTGTGCGCATTAGCGGTTCTCATGCTCATTGTTCCCTTTTTTATACTAGAAAGTCACATGATCACTATTTGAAGTCGAATAGTACAATTGTTGAGTATGACAGGTGCCAAAATTCTAATGATTTAGGATGTTTTTACTTAGACTTATTTCAGTCTCAGACAAAATCAGACTTAAATAGACCAGACCTGATTTGGACATTTAAACAAATACACAGAGACCAGACATATAAAATACCAGTTCAGATCAAACATAGACTACACTTAAACTGACCAGACCAAAAAAACCAGTCTAATTAAAACCATCATTAATATGAAAAACCTTAAGGATATATGTTTAAATCATGGGACATGTTAGGGAAGTGGGAAAAATGCTTTAAAATTCTATATTCATGTGCTTGGTTTTGCACACAAAAAATACAAAGGAAGTTGTAATATACATTTATTTTACACATGTTTAATTTCTTAGTCTTTATATAGTTTAAAAAACAGAGAAATTGAGACTAAACTAGCCCCGCCTACGCAATCTATTTACTTTCAAACATCTTCTTCATTTCATTTGTGCTTTGAGGAATGGATTGTATTAAATTGAATTATGAATATATGAAATCTCAATGCAAGATGGTTCTGTCTCTATATGTCATTTTGCTTGATAATTCTCAAAATCATTTTGAGCCCTTTATTTAAAATCATTTCATTTAAATTGGGCACATTTCTTCGCGCATAGCGCGTAGCTTGCTAGTATACATATAAAAAAGGGAATCGCCCGGCTTATAACTGTTCCCGCTCTAAACACACGTGCAAACCTTGTGCCTAAAAAGTGTCATTTGTGTCCACAACGTAGTCTTTAAAATGTGATAGTGGGCAACCAATAATAAAAAGTTTTTGTATTTACCACTTCAGCAAACTGAAAACCGGTCAGATCTTCCTCTTCAAAGCAGTGTAAATTACGGCTCCTTATCCTCTTCACAAATCAAAGCAGCATAAGAATGATCATTCATTCATTCTGCTGCATCAAAAGACATATGAAGGCATGAAGCATAAATCATACGTAGGTGCCATGTGTCATATATACTAATATACATAGTGTGATGTGAGCATGTGACTATCATGCGTAGAACACTAGGACCTCTAGATTCTACAAAGTACTCATAGCATACCATATATGTAAAATTTATTTTTGTACTCCGTAGTTGATTTTTTTCTATTAAAAATCAATATAGAATCATGATAAGCTTTAAATCTCAAATTGGAAAAAACCAAATAAAAATAGAAAGATATTGATCGATAAACGAAGAGATCAGGCATGTTGGAAACAATAAAAGGGGCCTAATATGTAATTAATTAAAATGTGTTTACCATCAGATAAATAATATGGTGGCTATTCATGAAATAATAAAAGTGTAGATACCAGGATAATATATTTCTTTTGGTGACGGGTCAAATTAAATATATTATACTAAAGTGATACAACGGTTATGACCCCCAGTGCATGTAAATAAAGAGATAATTGTAACGACATAATAACGGAAAATAGCCTAATAAATTATTCTGCTTATTGTAGCAATAATGAAGGAATTATTATGGTTAACTGTTACTATTCTCAAATTAGTCCTATATATACCCATCACTTATAGGATTAAGGGTTATCTCATAAGCTACATAGCATTGGAAGGTCTAGCCTGCCAGCTTTCTTGGATTCTTGAGTCTTCTTAAAGTGATAATGCAAATGAATTCTCAAGGTATGATTCTAATTTTAGTTCATACATGTTTGATTTCATGGATTTATATGGACTTAGCTTTTGTATATTTATATATATATTACATATGGAGATTCGTTGATATATATATATATATATATATATATATATATAGGGGAGGGTTCTAATGAGAACCTCCCTTAAAATGAGAACTCACTTAAAATGAGAACAATTAATATCAACCGTCCGATCTATTAGATCTTAATTAAATTACTTTGGAAACGACGATTACTCTCCCCTGAAACCATTCACGTCTCTTCTCTTTCGCACCAAAAGCTTTTCTTCAGAAAAAAACATAGCTCCGCTGTTGAACTTCTGTCTTCTTCTCTGTACCAGCCACCGTCTTCATCCACAATCGGCGGTCGTCAATATCCTGGTTCGTGAGGACTTGTATTCTTCGTCTTCTATTTTAATCATGAGTTCGATTCATATCTCTGATGCCGAGATAGGTGAAACAAGTGAACAAGTTGCACCTCTAGCTCAATCTAATTCTTTACAAGCTTGGGATCCTTCTATAGCAAGTATGTTATCTTAATCTTTTTATTTTGTAATCTGCATATATAATCCAAAAGTATGACAGTTAATGATTTGTTATTGATTTGAAAAGAAAGGGTCCGTAGATTACCACAAGATGAATAAAATTGTAAAAGTATTGCTTAACCTTATTTGCAAATTACAAATATAAACATAGTTATGACCTTTTGCAGATTATTGTAATGATGAAATTCATGAACATGGGAATATATATATTTCAAAAGAATGGATTCCTACATGCAAAAATGAAGAATTAAAGCCAAAAGAAGGGATGTTGTTTGAAACGCTAGCTGAATGTGAGAAGTTTTACAAAACTTATGCTCATCATGTCGGATTTAGTGTGAGGAAATCTTCATCTAAGAAGCCTAAAGCTGGTGAGTTGAAGTATAAGTATTTTGTTTGCTCAAAGCAGGGGTATTTAGAAAATACTAACTCATCAAAAGGCAAAGAGAGGTTGAGAAAAAGAAAATTGTCGAGGGAAGGGTGCAATGCTCTAGCGGGGTTTAAAAGAGTGGAATGTGGTAGGTATTCACTCTTCAAGTTTTATGAAGGTCATACACATTTACTTACAACTCCCAAGAAATGTCACATGCTAAGATCAAATAGAGGCGTGAATAGTGTTCATCGAACATTATTTAAGTCTCTAAGTCGAGCCAATATTGGTGCTAGTAAAGCTCATAGAATCATAAAAGAGCATGTTGGCGGCTTTCAATATGTTGGTTGTAGCAAACAAGATTTTAAAAATTTTCAAAGAGATTTGAAAACTTTCATTAAGGATTCCGATGGCCATATGTTTATTGAGAACTTTATAAGGAAAAAAAAGATGAATCCTTCTTTCTACTATGCTTATGAGTTGGACGATGATGGTAGATTGAAGCATGTTTTTTGGGCCGATGGTGTGTCAAGAAGAAACTATGCATTGTATGGTGATCTTGTGTCGTTTGATACAACTCATGATACTAATAGATACAAGATGATATTTTCACCATTCACTGGCGTTGATAATCATCGACTTTGTATTACCTTTGGGGCTGCATTTCTCGGTAATGAACAAACTGAGTCCTTTAAATGGCTATTTGAGCATTTTCTAAAGGCAATGGGGGGTCATAAGCCTTTATGTATCATCACTGATCAGGATCCTGCCATGAAGGCTGCAATAGATCAGACTTTTGACACAACTGTTCATAGATTTTGCATTTGGCATATCATGAGAAAGCTTTCGCAAAAAGTTGGGGTTTCTTTGTGTGGTGATATGTCTTTTAACTCTCAATTTAAGTCATGTGTGTATAACTCGGAAACACCAGAAGAGTTTGAATTGATGTGGAATGATGTTATTATTAAGTTTGGATTAGAGAAGAATGATTGGTTGTCACATTTGTATGCAATTCGTGAAATGTGGATTCCTGCTTACTTTAAAAATCTTCTTTTAAGTAAAGTGGTGAGGGCGACTTCAAGGTCTGAAAGCGAAAATAACTTTTTCTCCAATTTTACGAACCCCCATTTGAGTTTAGTAGAGTTTTGGATGCGTGAATTATAAAATTATGCGTGGTATTGAACAATAAAGAGCATATTTTAAAATCTACAAATGTCCTTTTTTGTCCTTTTTTACATTAGTCGCTACAAGCAAACATATAAGTTACCAAACGTATTTTTGCAACCCGCCAAATTAATCTGCCGGCCAAATCCGCTAATTCAATCCGTTATTTACAATCCGCTAACATTATCCGCTAACTATTGTTGAATAGGCACATTGTAATTTGTCGGTAGAATACAAGAGATACTACGTATGAGAGAACATAGTTGAAGTATGGAAGGGTAGAGATAGAATGACACCGGACGGCCATATACATACGGAGTATCACATTATCATCCTCAGGATAAATCATTACGTTCTGGGGAATGGTGTCTTTCTTTTAAAAACACTTCGTATCATCTTATTTTGATATGGAGATGTAGAGATATGTGTATATGTACGTACCAGTATACTTATCATATATAGGGTTTGTTTGGTGGGCCAAATATAACATGTCAGGCCTAATATGTGATTTAATCAATTCATAAAAAACTATGCTTTGTGTACGCCGCCTTAGTACACGACATTTTACAAGCGGGTTTATTTGTCTATGTGCAAGCAATTTTTTTTGGATGAAAGCGGCTTACATTGATATCAAACCATTTGGAGAGTAGGCAAAACGATAATAAAACTTATGAAAACCGCCGTCCCGCGAACCAGACTCAGAGTTTATCACCTCGGTAATATAACTCGCTGATCCATTTATGGGCACAACTGAGCCAGTGACGGTAATCGCAGTTAAATATCACCCACATCCAAACTCAAAACCATCGTCTTACAATCGTAAACAAATAATACAAACAAGCTAGAAAACATTAAACAGACATGAGACAAAAATAAATTAAAGCAAAATAAATAAATTTCTTCACTCAGCCTTCCGAGAACTACCGGCGGCGGTTTAGGAGGGGGTCTGATCGCCTTCACTTCATCTTCTTCCTTCATCCCCTTGAACGGCCCTTGAGTCTCCTCCAGCCCAAACTCCCCATCCAACGAATTGCCATAAGACGGCACCACTCCTCGCCAAAAGATGATAGCGGACAAATAAAACTCTAGCGGTGAAACCCTAGAGACAGAATGCGAATAATCTTTAACAAAACCCTCCATTCAAAGCCCACTGCTAAGTGTCAAAGCCTTGCCTCGCCGACTAGAGAAAGCAAGTAAGCAGCGAGGCCAAGCAATCCAATTGAAGCCCTAGAGAAACTTCTCCCTCCACGCTTTGACCTGGATCCCAAGCGAGCACCTAGCTAGGGAAGTGACCTTGTGCTCGCAATCTCTCCTAGAACTCTCTCGACCCCTTCCAAGCAAACCTTCCGAAGCCCGCTATCAAAAACGTCCGACAACCACCGTTACCGACGAACAACTCCAACTAGGAGAAACCCTAGACACGACCACCTTTTTAAAAATTCTGATTTAGTTTTGGATGTAGTACTATTTTAGAACCTTTTTAAAACGGCATATGGAAAGTGGCTATTTTATGCTCCGTATTCTTTTTCCGATATGGTGGAAATAATTGTATGGTGAAAAAATAAATATTTCATTTTCCTTCGAACTTCCTGTGTGCAAGCAATTTGAACAACGTTTTGTGAAGAAAATCGTTTTACGCGCACACAAAAAATGTGTGTGACAGACAATTTCTTTTGTCTGTACAAAAAAAATGGTTTTATTCACAAATTGCCGGTCAAATTGTCTGTAAACATATAATTTGACCGGCATGTAAAATGTCGTGTACGAGTTACTATGCACAAATAGTATTTTCGTTCATGAAATATGCAACGTAACTGTTTTCTATTTTAATGTTTTATCTTATACTCCGTATATGTGCTTACTTGAACATCAAGTATTATTTATTATTTTGTTTTACTATAGATTATTTTATACTATTTTTGTAATTCGTACAGTATGCCAACAAAATTATAAGTACTTCAAATTTTCTCTTATAAGTACTATAGATATAAAAAAGTTGGAATACTCCGTAATATTTATAAAAAAGCAATATTCAAAAAATATTTTTTCCTAGACTATTTATACTTTTGAGATATTTTCATAATATGCCAAAAATAATTTACCTTTCAAATTTAAGAATTTAGTAGAAATAATTATCCTAGGTATAACTAAAACTTAGTATGTTTCCCAATGTATGACTTACCCTGTTTTTTTCCCAATATAATACTAAAATTCGAATTATTTAATTAAAATTCGTATTAATTAAATAATAAATATTTTTTATGGACAAATATACCCTTTAACATATATCTATAAAAATCTAACCTCCTATTCTTTTTTCCCCAACCCTAACCTCTGCCCTCCAGTCTCCACCGCCTCCCATCCCCACTGCACGCCCCTGCCTCCGCCGTTCCCGACCCTCTGTCCGCCGCCGTCCTTGGCCCTCAGTCTGCTGCTGCCCAATAGCACGGTCGCCGCAGACCAGTGCATCTCCCGTAGCAGCTCGGCATCGCGAGTCACCATAACCAACTACTGTCCGGTGGTAGGAAACGGAGGATTCGTCCAGATTGGCTGACGATTGAGGCAGATTCAAGGGTCGCGACTTCGTTTGTGGCAACATGGTGGGCGATGGCAGTAGATTCGTCCAGATTGAGGCAGAGATTGGTGGCCGATGGAGTCAAATTCATGGGAAGTGATTGGTGGGCGATAGAGAGATATGAGCGGCGACTTGGTGGGCAGTGGAAGCAGATTTGTCCAGATTGGTAGCTGATGGAGGCAAATCCGCGGGTAGCGATTGTGAGCGATGGAGGCAGATTTGTGGGCTGCGACTTGGTGGGCAATGGAGGCATATTACTACTTTCTTCTTCTTGTGCAATGAACTCTTGCAGTGAATGATTAAGTTTTTTTTTACAAAGCTGTGAATGAATGAGTTAGAAAATATACGTGATAGAAGAGTTTTGATAGAATTTTTTGATACATAGTGCTTCATTCGTATGTTGCTGATGCAATTCTTATCCCAAACCCTGCAGCCTTTCCACTTCTCTAGACTACTGCTGCAATTTTTTTCTTCAAACAATGATAATAGATACTGTTGAGTATAGTGAGTGAATTTAGGTTGGGCATTGAACATTGGCAGTGAACAATAACAATAAGTATTGAGTATGGAAGTGAATATGGCAATTTATATGTTGTACATGGCACTAAATGAATGCGTTAAAAGTTTGGTGTGCATTAAATAATTTATATTTAATGCTGTGAACATCACAAGAAGCGCAATTAGTTATGACAAAACGTGCAATGATATGGCAAGAAGTGCAATAATGTAAAAAGTGCAATGACATGAAAAGAAGTGCATTAAAAATGACATGAAAAAATATCTATAAATTCGTAGCATTATATGTAATATTTAACCAAATGTAAGAACTAAAGTTATGAAATCTAAAAAAACGCTAAATTCATTTTATGTAATGTTATGTCGTGCAGTGAATACCGCCATAAAGTGCAATAAATGTAATGCAATAACGCCTTCATGAAGTGCAATATTTTTACCCGGATGAAATTAGTGTAAAATGCATATTTTAAAAAAAAAAAAAAGGGTATTTTTGTCCTTCCACAATTTAATATAACGAAAAATTCTTTTTTTTTTCGATTTTTGGTCATATTTCGAGAAAAAAACATAACTAGTCACATTTCGAGAAACTCACTTTGTTTTAGTCATATCCCGAGAATTTTTCCAATTTAGTACTACGTATATTTTTTTGAAATTGCTTTCTCATATGGGGTTAAAGCCTTACAAAGTTTAGAGTTACCAAATGATGAAAGCTAGGGGTGATCGACACAACTATATTGGCAACGTACAAAGGTGGTGTTATCCAAAGTAATTTCATGAATTTTCCAAATTGTGTAGAATTTTGTATTGTGCGTAGTAATATTTTGTAGTCATGTATTTTGTAGTCTACATTCCGATCCGTGCATTGCACTAGTTCTCATAAAATTAAAAACACAACCCGACCACAACAAAACCAGAGAGTTTTCCTTAGATATTACTCTCCATGCTTTAGAATTATGTTCATTCTTTTCCTTTTCATTCTTCTCTAAAAAAAACTTCATTTTCCTTTTAGGATGAAGAATTCATGGTTCATGATGTTTTCTCTACAATTATTAACCACACAATTTTCACTTTCTTAATATACGTGAAACATTAAAAGCGGAATTAATATTAAAAGCGGAATTAATATTGCGACGGTGGGAGCACCAAAATGTAACTTGTACATAGAAATACTGCTAAAGTTACTATGAGTGTATCTACACAGTCACTATAGTATGGAATTTAACACAAATGATCACTCAATTTACTATTTCAATCACTAAAGTATACAAAAACACATCTATTCAGAGTTTTTTTCCGTATTAATGTTAATTAATTAATTAATTACGAAAATAGGGTTGGGTTAAAAGTATTTACCAAAATACTGCTGGATTAACCATGGTCGGGGTAAGTCGCCCAACGGTTGGGCGACTTATATATAAGTCGCCAAACCGTTTGGCGACTTATAAGTCGCCCAACCGTTGGGCGACTTACCCCTTAAGTAAAAACGGGGTCAGCCACAAACAGAACGCACATAACAGTTAGCCCCAAATTTATCTGAGCTGCAGCGACGAAAGCAGAAGACGATCGACGACAACCGAGGAGAGGCATCCAACTCTGGCGAACCTCCATCTCCGGCGACCCCATTCCAGCGAACCTCCACCTTCATCTTCAACACTCTTTCTTCTTTCTTCTAGGTAAATCAAACTCCATTTCATCTCATTTTGAACTTAGGGTTTTGAATGTTAAAAATTTCGAATTTTTGGATTATGAATTGATTGTGAATTAAGTTGTTGTGAAATGTGGATATGTATGAAATGTTGAAATTTGATTTTAAATTGATTGTAAATTTTAATGTGTATTTTGACATTTGGGCATTTGGGTAGACTTGAATGTAGCTAAATTTGGGTATTGAAAGGTAGACGTGAATGTAGATATCAAAATTTTGGTAGTTTCATATTGAAATGTGAATTGTTTGTGAATTTTGACTTTTGGATATATTACAATTTTGGTAGTTTTTTCTATTGAAAATTTGAATGTGTTTAAAGTGTGTATATTGATGCCTACTGATACACTTGTAATTTCCACTTGTATGTGTGTGCTTTTAGTTAGTTTTTGTTGTTTGATACTTTGAAAATTACACACTTTTGGTATAATAGTTATGTTTTTGTAATATTTCTAATTTGTTTAGATTAGTTCCATTCTGAGCTCAAACAGGTCCAAGATCAATTTAATGATCATTGGTGAAGGAAGGTGCAAGAGTACAAACAAAAAGAAGGAAAGTTCCTAATTTTGACCTGTACCCGGTCGAGTATAACCCCTTACTCGATCGGGTACCAATTGGATTCTCAATCAGATCAACCAGGAAACAAATGGACGTGCAGGGGAAGATTTGGCCACGATCAGTTGTCATACTGATAAGTCCGTATTTAGACACACATTTGATGTGTGTTGGGATTGGATTTTGATGGTTTTCCCAGCTTTAAGGTGTTGCAAGTCTCAATTTTAGCTCAAGTTATGTTTATCGGGCGTTGGTTCGAGTTTTGTGTTGTTTGTAGTCAAAATCAAGGAATTTGAGCCCGGTACCGGCACTTGAGGATATTAATAAGAAGAGTGAGAAAACGAATTGGGATGCATTCTTGGAAAGTGATAGCGAGTCAAGAGGAGTTGCTCAGAATTTTCATGATACATTCGAGCGAGGAAAGGAGACGTTTGTGATACATTTTGAACATGAGGATGAGAGGTTCATACTTCACTTCTGTGCTGACGAGGGTTATGAAGACCATGCACTTCCTACGTGTTTTCAAGAATTTAAGAATCTGCGCCATCTAATGGCATTTGTTGAGAAGAAGCTGGAGATGTTGACTATTAGTGCATCACTGATGTCTTTGCTATTTGAGAGCTTACGAGGTATCGCCGGGCAAACGACGTTAAAAATAGCGCTTCTTGGGAGGCAACCCAAGCTTTTTTCTGCATTTTTTTTGTTTGTTTGTTTGTTTGCTTTAAAAAAAAAACCCGAAAAATAAAAACAAAAAAAAAAACCGGGGTGTTTTTTGGGTTTGTTTTTGTGTTTGTGTGTTTTGTTTTTGCAGCTCAGGGTCTTGTGGTATGGATGATGTGCCGAGGATTACATTGACTCAGTTTAGTTCTGCATCGACCAACGCCTTAGGGAAGTTTCTTTGACTCTTTTACTCGCTTGTGTAATAATGACTTGAGTTTAATTTAAGCGCGCGTGACCCTTTCCTCTTTACCCCTTGTGCACAGTGCATTTTTGGTCATCGGGGACGATTCCAAAGTTTAAGTATGGGGGAGTGAATTGGACACTCGGGCAGTAGTTGTTACAT